CATGTCTCAACACATTCGTCCTAATACACTTTCGATTTTGGGGTAGGCGAAAAATTCTTTCTGCCGAACGTCATTGGTATTTTGAAAAAGTCAAGATACTGTATCCAAGACGCATTGGCAAACAATCTTTTCACTAACTGGTTCAGTCTAAGGGAATATTATGTACATTTTTGAACCACACAAAAATTATAGTACTCAAAAGCGAATATTATTGTACATAAGTGTAGTAGAACGCATCAACATACCGGGTAGAAGAAGTATGAATGTGCATCAACTAGAGTTTCAAAAACTTATGATAATCAAATATACCAAAAAAAAAAAAAAAAAAAAAAAATTAATGTATAAGCATTTCTTTTTATTTACAAAGTCAAAATGTACTACAGAGAAAGTTGATAACTGAACTATATCAATAGCAGAAAGAGTACAGAAACTACAACTGGTAAATTTGTTATACGAATAAAAGTACTGCAGTTTAAGAGGTTGGTAAAAATTATAATATCTTCATATGCATGTTCTTTGAAATACCAGAGAAAATTGCACAAAATTTGTTCATCAAAACAAATTCTACAACTTCCGTATTAGCAAAATAATTGAAAGCAAATTCAACGATAATACATTTTTTTTTATATTGTCAACTGTTGTATCTTTCTAAATTTTTATAAAATAAACAGTTTTTCGCAGTGAACAAAAGTCAACTCAATGCCTGTATTGCAGATTATAACCCTACTACCGGTACATGTATTTATCAATTATAAAGCAATTTTGACATTTAAACATATCAAGCCCATGCCAAAATTGTGTGGTGATGTACATTTTTATCTTTTATATTCTGTTTACAGTAATTTTGGCAGGAACCACCCAAAAAGTCAAGAGCAGCCATTTTTGAAGTAACATACATGCTGACCTGATTTAATCTGTTTCTTTGATCTAAGAAAACACATTTGCATTTGAAAATAGATCTGTATTATAAATAAATTCTCTGATCAAGATGCTACCACGATCAAGATGAAAGTGCAATAAAAATCTAGACATGGAAATAGAAAGTCAAATAATTGGAAATAGTGAATATAAAAAACAGTTCTAGATTGATAAGTTTCATGATGTTTAATTAATCAGAATTAATGACATGCTGAAAAGCATTAAAATCATGAATGATGACTGTGAAGGACATTCACAACTCCAAATACAATTAATTATAAGATGAAATCCAAATGGCAAGGCAACAAGCTACCATTAAACAGTGCAGTTACTGAACTACTTTCTCACACAAAATGAGTCAATGAGCCATTTAACATTAATTCCAATGGTAAAAATGTTTCATCACATATCATAATGTGTTTAGTTACTTATAGTGAAAATAAGGTACCGGGGTACTCACAAATTATTAGCAACAATTGATGGCTATTATTTTTCTATGATATCATTTTTTTTCAGACAGTTGTTCTAGTGCAAAAATAAATGAAAAGATGATGACTGGTAATCAAATCAATAAATTTTGTAACAAATTTAAATAACACAAGTGTGATAGTTTTGGCATATTTAATAGATTGAATTACCTCATCATTTTTGAATTCGCTGTAAGCAAGCACTTGGGGTAGGGGAGATAAAGTGGCGGGTGGGTTGGTGCCTGTTATGTACATAACTTTACACTAACTGCAGTGAATTTGCGATATATATAAATCAGAACTAATAGTGCGAATGGAAACAAGTGATGAAAATACATTGAATCACAATATCTATCTGTACGGGAAATGGAATCCACTTGGAAATGCGTTTTCATAACCAACCAACCAACCTACCTACCTACCTACCCATCCAAAACTCACCCACCTACCTATCAATATGAAAGTTCATACTGTCACCATACTTGCCCAATTAATAGCGCATGTGCATATGTAAATGACAGAGGTGAGTCAGAGGTCAAAGTGTTGGTTTACAAGTGCTTGTAATAGAGCAAATATGGTAGTTATATTTGTAACATGCTGTGTGACAACATGACTGCAAATATTGTGCATTATTTTACTATATACCACACCCTTTAACAATCCCACAAAATGGGGCAATAGATGAGACAAATATGTCAACCCTGTACTGTTCTTGTATTCACATAATATTCTATTTCACTAAAGGTCTGGTTTTATCTTCATCAGCACAAGAAGTTGCTTTGTATTTTTGAACTTCAGCCATATACTCAGTCCATGCACTTGTTTTACCTTTTGTATCCTGAAAAACAAAAACAGATCCTTAATTGTCATACTGGAATTAACTTTTGCTGAAAATTTTAGTTTATTTTGACAAATTGATTTATTTTAACTACCAGTAATTTGTAAAAAATTATATGTGCACACAAAACATTAAGGGGGGTATTCTCAACTGAGTGTCCTTGTATTAACAGTTGACCTTGCAGTCAGCTGTAATTTTGACAAAAATTCTTGAAAAATAAATGTCTATTGCGTAAAACGAGGGGGTGAATGTGAAATGGGTGTGTAATTTTGTGTTATACATTCAGGGCAGTGCTTCACATTCAAGCAAATTCAACTCCTTCGGCTTTAGCATCATCAACAATGAAACCAATGTTGCAATATTGTAGCATCCAGTACCTCGGAGAGTGGTTGAAATCATGTTATTTTGGATTTATAAAATATTTGGTAGCAGCTTGTGAATCCATAGCTGGGGCCAGCATTTTTGCAATGCCACACCGAAGACTGCCAATTTTTTTACCATCTTTCATCACAGCTATTGCATTTCTGTCATGAAAATTATTTTTCTGTTGTTGGAGAAAAAAAACACAACTTCCTATTTCAAGTCCACCGCGATATCCATAGTGGAACATTCCAACCGCCGGAACTTGCTGAATGGTAACTTTCACCATGATTGAAGAGTCTAGTCTGATAAGAAAGCAATGTTGACTTGACCTCTATGATGAAACACTAGTAGTGATATCATTCTTAGCCACTCATAGCAGATGCTAAAAAGTCAAAAATGATTGCCAGACGGTAAACAAAAGCATTTATAAACCCTTATTGATTGATAAACTTTTAGAGCACAGGCTTGACTATACCTTCAGTGGTCACTATACACAGGTCTGACTGTACCTTGGATTGTCACTATACACAGGTTTGACTGTACCTTGCATTGTCACTATACACAGGTCTGACTGTACCTTGCATTGTCACTATACACAGGTCTGACTGTACCTTGGATTGTCACTATACACAGGTTTGACTGTACCTTGCATTGTCACTATACACAGGTCTGACTGTACCTTGGATTGTCACTATACACATGTTTAACTGTACCTTGGATGGTCACTGTACACAGGTTTGACTGTACCTTGGATTGTCACTATACACAGGTCTGACTATACCTTGGATGGTCACTATACACAGGTTTGACTATACCTTGGATGGTCACTATACACAGGTCTGACTGTACCTTGGATGGTCACTATACACAGGCTTGACTATACCTTGGATGGTCACTATACACAGGTCTGACTGTACCTTGGATGGTCACTATACACAGGCTTGACTATACCTTGGATGGTCACTATACACAGGTCTGACTGTACTTTGGGTGGTCACTATACACAGGTAGACAATGCAGAATAGATGTTTAATACTCACCAACTTATCATCAGGTTTTTGTTTCTTGACTTGACCAGTCTTAAGCGTCAGACCTTTCCTCTTGCCAACCTGACGAACAGAACAATCATACTACAACAGATTAATAGAAGATTCTCTCAATTCTTTCCAGAGACAATAGCAATACAAGAAAGTAAATTGTCTTTGCTGGTATGCACACAGTGACATGCTTGACTCCTTTCACACATTCTCGTCTTCTGGCACATGTCAGACTGTTGGGATAAAAGTTAGAAAACTGAACTGTAACAAACCAAGAGGTCCAGAAAACAATGAATGACCTTTGACTTTGAATAATATCCAGGAAAACCCATGAAGGTAAAGTACTGTACTTTACCTAAGCCTAGTTACTGTAAAGTACTGTACCCGGATATGTTGTCCTTTCATTTTTGTTGAGAATAGTACTAACGGGTAATAAAGTGTCACATGAATTTAGAACAGGGTGATTGTGGACTGACAGTACTGTATTGGGATGCCATTGCAGGTACTTGTAGACATAAATAATATGTAACACTGTTGGGTGCAGTACCGAATATAGACGTACACCTACAATACAGTGCAGATGTATGTAAGGCACAGCAAATATTATAACAAATAGCGATAAGATGTTATTGGTAGAATTCACCATATAGTGGAATATTTCTAATTGAAATGTCTAAAACCATGCCTCATATTATTAATTGGATTATTATCCAACAAATATTGAACTACAGAGGACTGTCGCCTCATTTCAGGGTTAGTCTCTTTTTACTGAAGAGTTGATCTTGAATAGTGATCCTTTAATTCACATGAAAAGAATCAAGAAATAGTGAAAATAAATCTCAGCAAAACAAAAAATTCAACAATTTGACAGAAATTTGAACCTCAGTCATGAATGCTGTGGATAAGCATGTCATGAAAGCTGTGGATATGCATGACATGAACGTTGTGGATAAGTGTCGCATACGACTTATTTACCACTTCCGTGTCACTGAGAATGTTCTAGAACCATACTGTGTCTGGGTGGAATATTCTAGATTTTTTTTAGAAACTGGTTGAATAAGTAATAGAACACTGTAGGAGGCAATAGAAGGTAATGGAACATTCTAGAAATTTGTAGTAAGTGCCAGACTCATTATGTATGCTGATGTAATGGTCTATTTATAGCAGTGGAGGTATATATTTGTTGTTCAGCACTGAGTTCAGATCGGAGATCTCGTTGAATTGTGTTGGAGTTTAAGTATCTAGTTATTGGAGGTTTGGAGTTTACCGCGTTATTGTACTTGATGTTTGCAGAGTATAATAATACCAGTACCAGTTGAAACCTCATCTGTTGGCTCCGTGTTCGTATGTTATCATCGTTGCCAGGGAAGTCTTTATGTTACTGTTGCCATTTTGGTATTTGAACCATCACACCTGTACTATACCAATTACGGTAATATTACCTTGCGTGTGACAATAAGCATGTCGTGTATGCTTTGGATAAGCATGTCATGAAAGCTGTGGATATGCATGACATGAACGTTGTGGATAAGCATGTCATGAATGCTTTGGATAAGCATGTATCATGAATGCTATGGATAAGCATGAATGCTATGGATAAGCATGTCATGAATGCTAGGATAAACATGTCTTATTACACTATTAATTAATATCAATGCATCAATTAACTGGTGATATTATTTGTAAACCAATTTCAATTTTTTAGTATTAGTAAATAAAATACCATTTTTTAGTGAACAGTGAAAATGAAAAATATTAGATATGTTACTTATTTTATGCATGTATCCAAAAGAATTTTGTAATGAATGTCAAAAATAGATCCTGGAAAAGAAACAAATCCAACAAATAATAATAATAATAATAAGACCCTTATCTATCTCAATAATACACTTTCATTGGCAAAAGAAGCCAATTGGTGATGCTTCAGTCATTGGACAATTTACTGCCATGAATTCATTTACAACGTTGTGATTGGTCATTTTTTTTCAACAGTTATTTGAAACTTATGAAACATTTATAAATACTCTCATGCCTTCATGAAAACCATACCCCACTTTTTTATAAATATTTATAAATTTCAATGGTATTCATCAAACATCATTTGAAAATAATCAAATGTTCCATCGGTCAAAACAATGAAGGGCATAAAGCAGTGAACATCATAAACACCTTATAAATAAACAGTTTTATCAATTAAAATGGATTTTAAAATTCAAATTGACCAATCCAGAAATAGTATTCAGACATTATCATTTATAGTACTGATTAATAACAATGAATTAGTTCAACATCATCCAATTAAGTAAGCGCTTCATTTTGAGTAAATGGAGAGTTCCAGTTGCTATGTTACGTGAAGGCACACTATGGGTATAGATTAGTTAATTATTATTATGATTATTCAGCTGTCATAATGGAAATTTTACTTGTTCCAAGTTCTGATAGAACTACTCATAATTATTAATATCAAGCCCTATCATAGGAGTATGTACATATTGATAAAACGATCATGACCAGACAAGAAAAACAGCTGAATTTATGTATGAGTGTGGTTAATTTGGCATGCATTTGACCCCTAAAAACAAAACTGTGATTTCATGGTTTCTTACGAAAAAGTTCAGTCGTGATTTCTTGGCTGTGGTCGAAGCAGCATTGGATGTTTCTTCTGATGTTTGGTTCGCAGTAAACACAACCGTGTCAGCTGGAGTTGTCGTACTGCTGGAAGACGTCGCTTCGGACTTATTTGTTGCTTTGCGTCGCTGTTCCTGCTCAATTTTCTTTTTGAACAATTCCATAAAACTTCCATCGTTGGTGAAAGCATTCTTGTTCACCTTTTCATCTTCTTCGGCGTCACTTGTCGGCGTTTTAGTGACAGAAGTCTTACCATCACGATTATATGCCGTCATTTTTGATTTAATAATTGACTACTTAAGTGCATTGAAATAGTATTGAGGGAAAATTAATCAATCATTCAACTTTCCTCGCCTATTTTACGCGATTTACTAGTAACTATGAACAATAATTAGACCAGATTTGTCTAAGTAATTTCCAAAAACCTACTGTAGTTCATTCGGGTGTTGAAGAATTTGTTCACACGGATTCTACAAACAACGTAGCTAGGGGAGCTTGTGTTTCTATTTACTGAGGGCGCTAGCATGAAGCTAGCCTTAGATTCAGCCTCATATTCAAATTCAGAATACAGCCCTAGGTTCGAATACCTTTAGTGTCAAACTGATAGTTTTTCATTATTTATAATATGTATGTTTTAATATATTTGATTTAATTTGATGTTATATGAAGTTATGCATATAGTTACTCATATTTTTTTTATAATTACATATCATCTTTTGAATAAATTAAATTTCTAGAGACCATCCTGTGTAATGTCAGTAGGATTTGTTTCTTTTTCTGTTATTGAATTGTGATAACTAGTTCTATTTTTTTGGGAATTGCATGTATGTTTCGAATCTGAGGCTGGATTTTAAATACTAGACTCAATTTGAGGCTCGGCCAGCTTCACTCTTGTATCGAGGGCGCTCTTCAAGATGGCAGCCCGCAGATCTGAAAACGTGTTGAATTTAGAAGGTTGCAATTACTTCCGCCAGCGGCTTATCTTGGCCACATTGAGTGGAAAATCAATCAGAATAAAGAAAATTAGACACAAGGATGATGAACCGGGTATAAGAGGTAAGCATATA